CAGTGTGAGACACCCAGCACCCCCCCCCCCCCCCCCCCCTCCTTCAATGAAATACCACTCAACAGCCTTCCTGCTGTCCAAGATTGGACATCAAATATTAAACACACTATACTGTATTCTTGCTTTATCTAAAAATGTTGTATTTTAATATCACAATGACACGCAAATGGGTATGAAAATGATATGAACATATATCAAATTATTCTGGGTAGTGCTTGTGCGCAACATCTCCTTTCTAATGTCCCATTATAGGTTCAATATTTGGGCCCCACATGTCTCCTTAGACATTTTTCTTTTTTACTTCTTTGCAATTTTAATAAGCCACGACCTTAAGCTTATTTTACTGGTCACTTTTGGTAAGCGATTTGTAATGAGTCAAGTAAATGTATTTATGGTTTTGTTTTTGCCTCCCGTGGAGAGTGCTCTCTTTGTCCTTTCCCACTTTAGCCATTAAGAAAGGCAAAAACATGCCCATGCGGCTTAAGTGTTCCAACTCTGACTTGTTTTTAACCTACCCTCCTCTGTGTAAGACAAAATATGCATCTATATTTGATGAGCTCAGAGTTTCTCTGTTTCTGTTTCTCCAGTCGTGCCTAAGCTTCTGTACTCTCCCTGCTGACAGACTCCAGCTGGCTCGCACCACAGATCAAACATCCTTCCAGTTTCTCCGGCTGTCATTAACCGACAAACTGACGTGTTGGAAGTCCAATCCCATGTTGGAACAAACTCTCCTTTCCCTCTTAGTTTCAGCCGACACTATTACCGGACAGCTGCTTTGATGTTTGTGTTGTTGGTGCAAACAGCTCCATACTTCAGTTTACTTCCTTTCCTCTCCTGCTGTCTGACCATCTAGTTAACTCTAGTTCGGTTTCCACCAAACTCCTTCCCAGCGGTTGGTGTACAAATGTTTTTCTCCAGGAGACACAGTATTTTTGGAAGTCAATTCAAGAGTTTTGGAGAAATCTTCGGATGAATTTGTCACGTAAGAAAACGTACTCTAAACACTAATTGCAAACATTGTTGGACCTTTGATGGACCTACACATTGATACATTGATGCAGCAGACATACTGTCCCTGCTAATGTGCCCCTACGTTACCCACAATGCAACAGGAGCAGCAAAAGTTCAGTTGGTGATTCTGGTGTGTTAGCTTGTAGCAGCTAATGTAGCCTCAATCACAATTCATACATCCTCGCCCTGTTCTTCTTCTTTGTGTTTATATATTATTACACACAACATGTTTTATTATAAGGAAGTCATACTGTACCACTTACAGAGTGTTGGAGTAGTTCCATGCTTTTGAAGAGATTACTTTTAAACATGAAAGGGCTGCCACCGCACACGAACTCTGAGATGTGGACGCATATTTAAAGAAAGAGTCTTTTGATCATGCTGGTGATTTCTTTTGAATGCAAAAGTAAATGTGCTGCGGGACGATATTTACAGGCTGCTTGAAATCATATGCTGTTGTTTCCCAAATGGTGTCTAAACAAGCAATGACACAGAGGACTGCTACCACTGGATACTTGTACTAGTGAGTTGAAACAATGCAGGAGGAAATGATTTACTGTTGGCTTATAGATATGTTTTCTAGTTGTGCCTCTGGTCATGGAAACCTGTTTGAGCCCCACATTTCCTTTCCTGTCCTCTAGCACTCTGTCCTTCTCTTTCTCTAATGTCTCTTTTCTCTTCCTCACCCTTGTGTTTTCTCTTCCTCAAATTCCATTTCCACCGCTCCTTCTCGCTTGATTTCCTCGCCTCTCTCAAAGCAAGATTAAGCTATTAATGTTGCGGTCTCTTTAATGAGATGTGGCTGTGTGTGTCTGTGTGAGTGTGTGCGTCATGTGTGTGTCTGTGTGTGCCGTTTCAGTGGGAGAACAACAGTTTAAATGGACTATTGATCGTGCCTCTGTCTCCCTGTCAGTGTTTGACTGCTTCCTGCCTTCGCCGCCAGCTCTCACACACTCACTCACTCTGCCTGACAGAACACACACACGTATATGCTAATTCAAACGCAGCCTTTTAAACACACTTGGACACAAGAGCGAACACATACTGATAGGAATATCAATCAATCCCTCACATTTATACTCAAACTGGACCTTTTGTACATAATTCCATTAATATTGCTTATTTTATGACTCTAATAACCATCATAATATCATAAAATATATCAATATATGATGAAAAGTAGGATACAATCTCACTGTAACTAGGGTTGGGTAATATATTTATATAATACCGATACTGTGCATTTTTCCTATTTTTCCGGGCTGCCTTTTTTTAACTTTACAAGATTTGAACTGCTTTATTTTTTGCCTTTAGCCACTTTATAGTCATTATTATGTCATTATATCCACATTACTGATGATTACTTAATAATATTCTCATTTTGTTAATCTTTTCTGAAAGCACCAATTGGTCAACCTTTGCAAAAACAACGTCATTTGTTTATGATATCTTATTTCCTCACTCTTTTTCCTCCTGTTCCTCGATGTTT